GCGGGACTGGGATATTCTGCCCACACGACTTGCCATCCGCCACCTCAGCGCCTTCTGCCTACAACGTCAGGCAGCAAACAACTCACCTATCGCGATTCTTGGCCACAAGTTGGTCATTATTACCTTCGATTTCTTCTGCAGCCGATGTGCGATTTGTCTGCCTAGTTTTGACTCTTAGCTGACGTTGGCCAGTGCCAACTTATTGCCAGAATTACCACTTTGTATGTTTGATGTGGCCTTGCTTCAATGAGCTTGGTTAGACATCGTTCAAAATTGCCCACTTCTAAGAAGTATGGATGCTTACCGAAAGAGTTTTCTAAAGTCGTCAACTATGGCTTTAACACCCAGCCAATCTACCCACAAAGTCACTTACTATCTTAGCTATCACGAAGCCTTGATTTGTATCTTTTGCGCACCATCTTACCGGTATTTTCCAAACGCATGCAGACATCTTGACCATCTTACACTGTTAGTTCGACTGGTTCAATGTGTATTTATCGAAAGCACCGACTTTCAGTTAAACCTTTCCGGTATTTTGGCCTTTTTAGCACTTAGCTGAAATTTATGCTTACATGTTTGACATTAGTCCAAGCGAGATCCCTCTTTTGTGCTCTTTTACTCATCATTGATTTGTAGTTGCTCAAACAACGCCACTGTTTACCGTAAATCGCATTACATTGCCTGAGGGTGCGGATTCCATTAAAGACTATTCGTTCACACCGTTGTAAAACCAGGTTTTTGGCATTTGTTAAGAAACTCCAGCTTTACTTCCACATTGGTGGCAGCGGATGCGTTCGAGTAACGCAAATCGAACCCCAGCCCTATCTCTTCTGTGGTCAGCAGAGACAAGGACCCTTAAATGCCTGCTCAAGTTGTCATGGCGGCCATCCGATGTTCCATACCCTGGATCCATAGACATTACCCGGGATTAGGACTACTGCATCTGAAGAGGCATTGGCAACTCGGTGACGACGACATGGACAGTATAAGCCAGCTGGACTGCAACTGCGAAGGGACCTACGATAGATGAAGAGTCCTTCCTTCAAGTCTACAAGAGCAAAAAACCCTCGTCTACTATTCGCTTGGGCCGCTGTCCTGCCAGATGTGTGGTGTAGGGGAGTGTCGAACTGGATATTTTATAAATCATGAACAGTACGGAGAACCAAGCCAGAAGCTGAGGACAGCTTCACTGCTGAGGAGGAGGCAGTGTGGCGACGTCTGGGGGCGCAGACATATTGGACCGCCTGGCCTCGGCCAATCCTGTGTTCCTCTGCGTTCCAATGGCATGCAAGGAAGATATGCAGCCAACCAGAGAATGAGGAGGAGCTGTACATATTGAGTGGCGTGGCCAGCGTGGTGGACTCGGATGGAAGGTGCCCGACTTGTTGCTCTGGCTTGTGATTGGTCAATAAAGCCTGTTCTGTTGTACCAGTCTTATTCATGCTAGGGCGTTACAGGATCCATTGTGTACACTTGCACCTCGACATGCTTGACTGCTTGGTGTTGCGGTGCTTTCGTTTTCAGGCGTGGCTTCATCCTTGGTGCTTGGAATTCCCACGTCAGTCTGGGCAACATCCTCGGGGCCCTGCTGGCAGGCGCCTGTGTAGAAGTCGCTTGGGGCTGGTCGTTTGTCGTTCCTGGCCTTGTGGTTGGAGGAATGGGCGTCCTCGTCTACTTCTTCCTCGTCCCCTGTGAGTAGCAGTTGACGGCGAGTTAGCATTGTGGCTCTTGTGCCATTACTGGTGGTCTTGCTCCCTCCATCCTACACTCCGAATGTTACGCCAAGGTGTTTGTTTTAGACCCAGAAGACATGGGCTTTACCCTCCCAGAGTCGACAGCAAAGGTAATCGGTGGACAAATAGTTAAAATTCACTTTTTCTGTCGCCTAATTTGCTTCTCCTTATCCAAGACTTATTCTTTGTAGGCCATCTTAGGCCTTGTAGTGGGGATGGTATAATATTTTCATTCTTGTTCCTAGATTATTGTGTAATGCAGTAACCGCTATATTTCAGACCGAGAATCAAGCTACGGAAACAACAAATGAAGAAAGTGGTCGCATTTTGCCTCAGGTACAAGCTATTAGCGTTCGTTGTAAAAAATTCATACGATAAAACGTTGGACTTTCAGTAGTGTCATGGTTTTTCAAACTGCTGCTTTACCTGATTCAGTATGCTTCTAAAACCTGACTTATTCTTAAACTAGTTAATTAAAAGGTCGCCCGGGCAAATTAATGTTGCCTCGCTGCTGAAAATCCTTGCTAAGCTTTTCTCAAATATGTAAAATGAGGCGAATGTAGTGGAACTACCTAAGTTCAGTTGAAGTATGAAGTAATGCATGGTATTTGCGCTCTGTCGAAATCAATTATCAACGCAAATGGATTAAAAACACTCAAGCCAGTAGTCCGATTTGCGTTCTCGTCGTGCGTTGGTGTAGGTTGTGAAATTTGTTTTCAACATTAGGCAATTTCACTATACACTGCTGGCAGTGATTCAAGTCGTTTTCTGTAGTGTTTGCATCGTCGTTATTTGCAGGATTTTGACTTCTGTTGGAATAAATGGAGATATGCCTCTGAACTACTTTACTCCTCTTGATGTTGTTCTCACGCTATCGATAGTCCCCGTGTAATTTGCAAAATCGACGTTCCCTGATCTCGCTTCTTGTGTAGTCCACTTGTTTTTTGTTATATAACCAGCCCTCCCCATCGGAATTCGCCAGAAATGATGGTGACTACAGCAACCTGCAGGTGTCAATGCATCCGTCGAGGGAGAATATGCGGCCCATCAGCTTCTGTGCAGCTCTTGCAGTTCCGGTAGTTTGGCTTCGATTTCAGACCCTTTTTACTCCTTCATAATGCAAACTGGTTAAGTAATCTCTTTAAAAGTCTAATTTAGAGAAAAGTAGCCTTTACTCCTCCCTTCAATTGTTGTGCGATCCACACTGTACCATTTTTCTGTGAATTTATATTCGTATCGCCATTAAGTTGCATCTTGTGCTTAAATACCTGTATAGGGCGTGATGGAGTATTCGCTGTGTCTGTTTTTTGTCAAATCGGTGGCCTATACATTCCTCTTCTGGCTTCCAATGTATATTCGTGAGGCGAACGGGTTAGAAGCTGCCCTGTCCGCGGATTTGTCCGCCATTTTCGACAGTGGCGGCATCGTCGGTGGCATGTTGGCTGGTCTCATCACTGATCGGACGTCCTGCAGCGCCACTATCTGCGGTGCAATGCTCTTAGTCGCTGTGCCCACTGTAAGTCTGTCCTTGGTGGCGTGATATTCAACTATTCTTAAAAAAATAGCCAAAAGTGCGTGTAGCCATACGGGACAAGGTTCACTCCTGCAAGTCACAGGAGATTCGAAGCTCCACCTAAACACCAAAAGTCACGTGTAGGCAGTTATACCGGACAACGTGTGCTCAATCTTTATCTTTCGTTTGATTAACTTAGGTAATGCATGCTGCTTATACAATCCCTTAAAGGTGATGTAAGCAGTAACGTTAACTTTTTTTTCCCAAGCTCTACGCGTACTACCTCGTTGGAGCCTCGTCCGTTGCTGTGTGTATTTGTAAGTTCTCTAGTTGTGCTATGTGTACTGCTGGAGTCTTTCAGTTTGCAGTCGGAAGGTATGAGTGTTTGTTTTTATATTGACCATATGACAACCATCAGACTTATTCAATTGAACCCATCAATAACCTTTAACCCACTTTTCACGTGCGTGTAACTGCTGCTGCTGCTGATGTCACTTGTTTCATTCTTCGTGGTTTACTGTTAATGCGTCTCGAACCAGCAGCTTTACATTCCCATATTTCTTTGTTTGGTTTTATCCTTTTTCGGAGTACTTTGTTAAACAACGTGGGAGAGCCACATTAATCGGGTCCTAGCTTTAATTTTACCGTTCCCTTATCCCAGACCAGTTAATTGTCAATAAGACCTCACGAAGCATGCATTTTTTCCGCCTAGGCATGCTCCTGTCTCTGGGGATTTTGGTGGTGGGTCCCTATTCCCTAATAACTACGGTTGTCTCGGCTGACCTCGGAACGGACCAGTCACTGCAAGGAAACACAAAAGCTCTGTCTACTGTTGTTGCTATCATTGACGGCATGGGTTCACTAGGTGCGCCTTGGCTAATTTAAAATCCTTCAACCTCCTTAATGCGCAATATTGTGATGCCAATGCTTTTGTGCCCTGTAGGCGCCGCTGCCGGACCTTTTATTGTCGGCCTCATAGTTGGTTACGGCTGGCTGTACATCTTTTTGGTGATGATGCTGTTTCTGATTTTATCCATCCTGGTAAGTATTGTGTTGTCTTAAGCCATGTTCTTGTTTTTTTCGTGATAACCTTAGATACTGGCATAGCAGTGAGGTTTGTTCGTATTTTTGGTTCAAAGCCTTACCAGGACAGACTGATGCGTCAAGGCAAAACTCAAAACGGATGTTCAGGGCTTTCGTTTAATTTACCTCTCTTTGCACCTTAGAAGTGTCCCTATGTGGCAGTAGCAAAATTACGAGCCTAGCTTAGTGTCGGGATGCCGATTTTTCAAGCGCTAATGTCATAAATTTCCCTGCATAATACGCCGTTGATGCGCAAACCGCATATTCACTTGAGGAACGGCTGTAGATCTGCTGTTTCAGTGATCTGAAACCTTCCGATGAGCCCCGATTTTGTTGCTTGTATTGGCAACCAAAACACGCACAGGGAACCTATGCGCAAATACCCCCTCTAACCCAAGCCACCATCACCCCTGCGCAAGGACAAAATCCCCTTCAGAGAGCCCTATCGAGTAACACATCTGAATGCGCCATTCATGCATTTATTTAGTGACCTTGGCTGGAATTATGACAGACGACCCATTTAGAGGTGCATGGGCCAATAAGCTGGAGTCGAATAGTGAGCGTGATCATTGTTGTTTTAAGGATAACTGTGGTCTAAGGAGTGCTACCTTACCTAAGAGATTTGCATTGTTTTATGATTGTTAATGATGTTTTTGCAGCATAGGGAAGTTTGGCAACTTTACTTGCAATACCAAGCAATTTCTGCACGGTTTTAGGCCATCAGAAGTAGCGGGTGTGAACACCAAACTCAAGATTTTCCATTGCATTGTCTCACCTAGCCTCTTTCAAACGCTACTACAGGTGTAAATGCATTGTGTAGGAATGTGGGAATAGGATTTCGTTCTCACGATAGTTTTACAGTTCTCTTCACTAGCAAGGTTATCGGGCTTGCTTAATTCGGGCTGCTTTTGACGATTTGCCTTTGCTACTATCCAGCGGTTTCTTTATAATGTTCCTTTTTCGTCATAACCTAGTTTCTCCTACGTCGTATTGTGAAGGAGCTACAAACGGTCTGCCGCCCTACTGTGGCTTACGTTCAGATGCCCTAACCGTTCTAGACACGGAGTATCGCCGCTGTTTCCCGCCTCGGGCATTCAATTAGCTTTGGATCTCATGAATTGAACATCTCTTAATACTAACACGCAAAATTTTAGAATAACTTCCAATTTTTCAATGTATACAAGTGCTTATTTTCAATTTATATAACGATTTGCATTTGAAGCCACATGTATGGCAATTTTGTCTTCTGCTATCTATCATATTCAAATGCGTTATTACGATTACCGTGGACTGAGGAAATTATCCTTGAGAAATCCCCCGCCCTGATTCGTCGAAAAAATAATTTAGTCTGCATTCCACGCTGGGTGCTCCATACAGAATTGGTTTTTTTGCATTACACAAACCCCCTTTGAGGTCTGAAAGCGTGGCTTGTCGATTGTCACCATTCAAGTTGGTGGCAGTGAAAGGCAGCTGCCAAGTGAGCACCGCCCGTTGGCACGACCGTTGGTGTTCATTCGCCTAGTCGCACACACACACACACACCCAAGAGGCTCTGTAATTCACTCGTCACAACAACTCCAATAAAACGTCGTTCCAATTGTCTTAGGAAAAAGTTTCATTGACCAAGACTGTTAGTCTCCCAATCGACGGCAGGCTAGCTCTTCTGGAAGTGACAAACTCCCACTCCTCTAGATCTCTCCACGAAAATTGCCCTGTGTAGGGCGATAGCACGACTGAATCTGACGATTATTCTGCGTTCATGGACTGCATATTTTCTGGAAGGTTGTTATTATGTGTTTGTGTACTCTCGTATTCCGTCAACGAGATATCGTATAGAATTTATGGTACTAAATCGTTTGGTTGATGTTTTGCAATTACAAGAATATCGTCGGTAAAAATTAAACACCTCCAAATAAAACCTCATAGAAGTTAGATTAGCAGCTCCTTCAGCTAGTAGGTGGGGTATTGATTTCTGGTTAAGCTGATTCTACCTGTTATTGCGTAAATAAATAAATGTTAAGGCTGCCGCAAGGGTCGACAATCCGATTTATCATTGAGTGCTCTGTCTCACCGTTAACTGACACCATTGCTTACACCTCACATTTCACTCCATCGATTTATTCTCATGACTACACACACACAGGAGTAGGTCTAGCAGCCCAGTAAACGAATCTCGACCTTCTACGGCTGCTTTATCCATTTGGTGGCCGTAGACAAAAATATCAAAAAGTTCAAGAACGACGCAACTTTTCCCATAAGCTATTCACAGTTTAGTTTTTGTGGTGTAAATAACCTTCGTAAAGTGTTCTAGTTTTGCCACTAAAACCTAGAGAACAAGGAAATGAATTGTTCTAAATGCAGGCAAACACCTCAGGCGGTCAGCACTGCGTGAGTTTCGAAGAACACTGATCACATTTCCAATATCGACGCTTGGTGGACGTCAAGTTCTAGACATTTTTCCAGTCCTAGTCTAGTAGCACTATTACTACTCTCCTTGGTGAGCTTACGAGCCATCACACGTGGGATCGGAACTCCTTAAATGCTTGTAGCACTTTTAAGCTAGTGTAAAATTAGGTTAAAAGGCCAATTCAGATCAATTGTGATTTGGGAAGGGCTAAACGTAAATTAACTTTCATCAGCGCCGCACTTGAGAAAGCACTGCTTTGTTTCATTAAAGCAAATTGTAAAAAGTTCCAGTGTTGGCTATACATGTTCACAAAAATTGGTTTCGACTGGGAAGAAAAGATGCGAAAATGGTGGCAATGTATTGGGTTTTTGGAAACCAGCTAAAGCAAATCATTTGCGGCACAAAATACATAGTAAATGCAGCGTGAGAAAACATGCCAGATTTAATAAAAAGTCAAACATCATAGATCCTCACAACCACTGAATATACTAGAATCCTGTCTTGAAGGAATCTCATAAGTGCTTGCGAAGGTAGGTGGACCAAACGAGTTACACAGATTCTGAAATGATAAACGTTTGGTGATTAGTTAAATGGGTTCAAATTCCCTGATTGGTCCATGGACAAACGTCTCGTTTCTTTACACGATTCTGTTGAGGGAAGCCCTAAAATTACTGTACGAGTGCGTAGGCATATGAAGGCACGATCTCTATGTCCTTGATTTTGCAGGACGCTCAAGTGATAATGTAGCGTGGACTGACAGCCACCTCGGGTGAGTGATGGCCCGAGTGTTCCAATAACTCACCTCTTTTGCTATTGGCCTCTGTCAGCACACACCTGTTACGCACAAAGCCATTTGACTAGTTTGACACCAATTGTAGCGTGCTTGGGCATGATCAGAAGGCGTATGGACGAATAGAAAGTTTATTGGTACAAAAATATCGACGTGGGTCTCCGGTATCAGGGGTAAAGCGTCATTGTTTACATGGGGTTCTTATATACTTGGTCCAGGTTGTCCCTGTTCGCTCATTGGCTCCGGCTTGGATTCTAGAAATAGAAAGACAATCTCGTGAGGGGATTGGCTACTCGGGCTTTGGCGCTCCATTTGAAACTTAAATGGTCCTCGCAACCGGAAGTCACGTGATGCTGCCCCCACGGCGCGCCAGTGGCTCTCGACCAACGGCTGGATGTCAAGATGGCGTCTTTCTGCCCGCACGCGACACAATAAACGGTCGTGTTCTCTGTCGCCTCTTGTCTTCCCTCTTCTTGGATTGTTACGGGCTGTTAATTAGAGGATTGGAAGGTGGTGCTTGTACCCAAGGCGCCGCAAGAGGTTGCGTACCCCACATAGACTTGTCGTTTGGTGTTTTGAAACCTTGCTACCGATCCCTTCTAAACCACAAAAGATCAATAATATATTTCTATTTTGAATACGATTTGAAGCCCGAAGAATGTGAATCTGCACAAATTAAGTCACACGACTAATATCACCCTCATGTGCGTGTCTAGGTTTAGCATAAAATGCTGCACTACACTAGTACGGTGTCGACAATTACAATATTTTGCTTTTAAAAAATACCTTACTCAAAACGCATTTTACTTGCTATCAAATCGGCTGAAAGGAGCTAAAATGCTCCATTAAAGTTTTCCATAGCATGCACAAACAATTGGGGATGATTAAAAATGTTCACTGTGTTTATAGTTTCCAAAATTACAACAGCCGAACTATCTACGATTTGCATTATCTTCGAGATCGTCTGCTTCTTTCTGTGCTTGTTGGCGTGCATTTTAGCCTGTTGTGGAAGTCTTGTGAGTAGTCATTTTATCGTTTTAATCAACAATCAAAACGTTTACGAAAAGTTAGCTTTAAGTATTTAAATTGAGTTTTTCAGTCACTTGTGTTCTTTAGTAGCTTATTCGAGTTTAGTTTAAGTTTCTTGCAAGAATTAAACATTTAAAGGCTTACTTAAATGGAGATTTACTGGACTGTGGCTGGTATTACTGCGGTGCAAACTGCTGCAGATTACTGTGAAGAAATCCAAACCAGCTCGAAAAACCAACGATATCTTTTGCAAGATGAAAGCAAATGTTTTTGGTTTACATGACGTGTTTAACCAATTTCATTCACTATTTGCACCCTGCTAACCTTATCAAAGCCAATTGAACGCCAGATCAGATTGTCTCCTCATTCAACGTAACCAAAAAGCAGCAGTATTAGTTGTGTAAAACGAGGAAGCCAAGATAAATTGCATGTTTAGATTTAATGTGAACAGTTTAGTTGGGTTTAGCTTATAAAATGCACCTTCAAAAAGGTCATCAGTCACAGAGGTGGTTGCTGTTTATGGCACTATGTTAACTAGCACAGCAGCACTATACAATGGCTGCAAAAAGAAATCGAAGTAATAATGACCAACTTGTGGCCAAGAATCGCGATAGGTGAGTTATTTGCTGCCTGACGTTGTAGACAGAAGGCGCTGAGGTGGCGGGTGGCAAGTCTTGTGGGCAGAATATCCCAGTCTCGTCACACGTGTCAAACACTTTAAACCGCCAACTGTTTCAGTGACATGAGAGGGGCGGTTACGCGCAACTGGATGAATTGACCAAACGTGGGAAGTGACAGAATGAAAATTTAACATCTGACGATCCACCGCGTTCTGCGGTGTCCCATCACGGGGATTTACTACACCGCTCACTAAACTTTGTCGTCCATTTTTAGTAGGTCCTCAATTTCCTTGTACAAAATACTTGTGATATTTCTTCAGTTCTTTTAGGCATGCTGTTAATTTGTTT